GCAATAGCTGAAGAAGGAACGAACGTCACCATCCAATGCACTGTTATTGGTCAGCCGCGTCCAATTTTCAAGTGGTCCAAGTCAGTGGGTAGTTTGCCTAAAGACAGAGTTACGTTCAAGAATGGAACACTGAAAATTTCTAATTTGACGAGACAAGACGGTGGAACATATATCTGTAAAGTAGCGAACATTCTTGGATCAGCAACAGACACCGCTCAACTCACAGTATTTTCTCCTCTAAGGTTCAAAGTCCGTCCTCCACCAGAACTAACTCCTGCTATTCGTTCAAGTGTTCGTCTACCTTGTATGGCCGAGAGCGACCTGAGACCTTTTATCACTTGGACAAAGGATGGCAAGTCTTCGCTTGATGTGGACTCCAATGTTTTGCAAAATGGAACACTGGTAATAAACAACATCAAGAAATTACACGTAGGATGGTACACCTGTAGAGCAGCTAATGCTCTGACGGCAATAGAAACCAAAGTCAAAATTAACAATCCGCTGAACATCACTTCTTGTTCTGCTATAAGAAAATACATCAGCAATAGAAGTGGAAATTATGTCATTGATACCGATGGCGAGGGTCCTTTAGCACCATTTACAGTATATTGTGACATGAGTGACAAGAATGGAGTTGGCGTGACAGTCATTAGTCACGACAGTGAAAGCAGAACACACGTGAATGGATATGAGGCCCATGGTAGTTACTCACGAGATATTCATTACACAGGAGCGAGTCTGTCCCAGCTGGCGAGTCTCACCAGAGTCTCCTCACACTGTGAACAGTTTATCAAGTACGAGTGTCATGGTGCACTACTATTAAAGGAAAGACATTCGTGGTGGGTGTCACGTGATTCTAGAAACACGACTTACTGGGGTGGAGCATCTCCTAATAGTGGCAAGTGCGCATGCGGAATGACCAACTCCTGTGCAGACCCCAGTGTTGGCTGTAACTGCGATATGAATGACGATGTATGGCGTGAAGACAGCGGTCTCCTCACTGAAAAGAAAGATCTTCCAGTGAAACAGTTGAGGTTTGGTGATACTGGTCTTGCCAGCCTTGAGGAAGGTTATCACACCCTGGGAAAACTGAAATGTTATGGCACAGCATAAACTTTCCTTTCTCTACAAGAAATATATTGTTATCTATGTGCATATTGTAATCTATGTGTACCGCTACATCTGGACGCAGCATTGACACGCCTATTCATCCGTTTATCCCTTACAGCAGCCTTGACTATTGCAATAGCCCATTCAGATGGTTCAGCGAAGTGCGGCCATCCATTTTCCAAACTGCAAGGTATCATGAATGCATGTGCTCGCCAGGTTTATTGAGTGCCGAAATCAGGTCACATCACACCTTGCTTCGCGAATTGCACAAGCTATCTGTTTGCCAACGCATAGAATTTAAGATAATGATCATTATATTTAAGATATTGCATGTCATGGTGCATGAGTTTATATTACCGCCGTTCAGGAATAATGACGACGCCATCATTTCTCTGGTATGCTATCGGCATTCCCAAAGGTGATAACAAGAATACTTTGGGAGGAAGATCATTTAATAGTGCTACCTCTAAGCTTTGGAATCTTCCTCCGCGTTCAATTCGACCTAGCTTGAATATATTAAAAAAAAAAAAGACTTGCAACGTTTCTTTTTAAAAAGGTATTCAACGAGTTAGTCCGTTTTTATGTTTTAAAATGCATAGTTCGTAGAACATTTTTTTCAAATATTTGGAATTGTAATTTTCAAGCCTTTCGTTCCGTGTTATTTCGATAGGACTTTGTAAAGTGTAATTAAATATGCGTTTAGAGCTAGCAAATAGAGCAATTTTTAAACAATGGAAGGTCGGTTTTCTAGAAAAACATTTCGTTATGAACTTCGATTCGATAATCCTAATCAAAACTAAGGAAGTGAGGTATACAAACAAAAGAAATCAAGGGAATTGAACTGAACTTCAATTAACTATGCCCGTACCATTTTATATCAGCGTACTTGTACATAGGCGAGGTAAAATTGTTTGTGTAAAAAAAACTCTTAAGAGTCAAACCCAGTGCGCTATGAAGTGACGATCGTTGACTGACGTCTCACTAGATGTTGAAATGTCACTTTACAAAAAGACATCAGGACTGCTGTGTATCTCTCTATATCATTGAAAAGCACATAAAGCAAATGCGATGAAGCACATAGGTTATTAGACAGATCATCGGTTATTTCCATCTTAGTCGACGGAATGGTGGCTCGATCCTCTAGATAGTCTGAAATGGACTCAAATTATTACAGTGCTAATCGAACCGTGATGAAGCTGTTATAGCGCAAATTCCAATGGATATAATTCATATGCAATACCTGATGTTCCCAATGGAGTTATCACAGTGGCCAATATTTTCACCGCCAGCCGTAAAAGCCATCACCCAATTGAGATCCTTAGCCAGTCGTAGTAGTTTATTGTATTCTCCAGTAAGAGGTAATAGGTTTTAGTTAAGTTAATGAGACTGTCAAAGTGATTTGTTCGAGGTGGACATAAATATTTCCATTTAAGTGCCGGCCGGCTCAACATCCTTCTTCACAGAGAGACCTTGTTGAATGTAAATGCGCTGAAACGTATTTCCTATTTAAATTCACGACTCATACACAAGAGTGGGTGTGCAGCTCGAACTAGGAGCCCGAGTATTTAATGCCGTCCGACAAAGTTACACAGAATACTAAACAACTAGTCATCGCCTCTCGGGCTAACACGTTTTTGTGCCACCGCCTGCGGTGAAAACCCAAAAAACCCAATGGGAAAAATGGAAACGTATTACCCATCCAAATGCAGGCGCACCAACCTCTGGGGGTTAGAGATAAAACAGCTTCATTACACGGAAGATAAAATTTAACGTTCTAGAAAAGTTCNAAAAAAAATTGCTGAAATACATTCAGTATGTCGAGAAGGCAAAGAAAAAGGCTAAGCCAAACTAAGTGCTTTCTCGAACAAGTAAGACTGAAATGGAGCATGTCTAGGTTGAATCCCTCCACAAACATGAAAATTGTCATTTAAGTGCACTGATTTCCCCTTGCCCTTCATTGCGAATTAAGAAGCCAGTAAAGCTTACACTGTACAGTTAATTTAGCCGAGGCGTTCACTTGTCCAAGCAGACTTTGCGCTTTGCAGGTGTATACTCCATCGTCCTCAGCTTTCACGTCCTTCACAATTAGAGAACCACTGGACTCTACCACGTGACGTCCGGCTGGAAGGGACGAATTCATCTTGTACCACGTGACTGATGGCTCTGGGTTACCATCCGCTGCACATTTCAACATGGCTGTCTGAGTTTCATTGACTGTCTTTCCTACAGGACGCTCCAGGAGGGAGGGCAATAAGAGGGACTGGCCCTGCTCACCTTTGGTACCTTTCACACCCTGCGGGCCTGACGGTCCCTTGGGTCCGAGGTCTCCCGTTTTCCCGATGTCCCCCTTGATTCCTTTCGCTCCTTTCGCGCCTACTGGTCCATGTTTGCCAGGGGGTCCATATGGCCCAGGTTTCCCTGGGGATCCCCGTTTCCCACGGGTTCCCTGTCTACCCCGCCTCCCTTGGCTTCCTTTGGGTCCTGGGCGACAAAGTGTGTAATCTTTAGCACAGACTTGTTTTTGGAGCATTCGTAGTTCTTGTTTGACTAGCATCTGTACATCGGAAGATGTTATATTTGAATTTTGTTGTGAATTACCAGGCGAGGAGCGTTTTTGTCGCTTTGGGTTAGTTTCCCTACCATCTGAAAAAATGGGAGACTCAAAATTTTAGATGTCGGCCTGGCCTAATACCAAAACAAAAGAACGCCTGATAATAGGTCAAGATCATTTTATCCAAGTCTACCAATGAGTAGTCTCAATACCTAAGTTTACCTTAATTTGCAAAACACAGAACTCACCGGCAAAATCAAATACTGGTGAGAACAATAATAACCATAATAACAACAATAATGGTTATATGCCAAAGAATCGAGCTTTCGAAATTAACATTTTTGAAACATTGCGAAGCCGCGCAGTGCTTTCTTTGTACACGTAGATACACTCCATCAGCTTTAACAGCCGTTCTGTCAAGAGATGATAGGTGGTTTCTAATCTCTTGGTCGCACTTTACAACACCCGTCCCACTTTGTGCTAACAATAGTCGCACTTTTTAATTAAAAAGCTGTCGCACTTTGTAATAAACTTGGTACTATAGATTAGTTGGGATAAGTTGGGTAATCAAAACATGTATCATCACTGAAGTAATGAAACAAAAGAATACCAAATTACCTTGAGTCGTTCGAGATGTACTTCCCGGTCCTTTATCCTTATTGCGCCATCCTAGATCGTTTTGCTGAACTTTTCGAAGGATTTCTGTCTCCATCTTCTTAAAGAACTCTGTCGAGTCTAATATCAGGCTATGATTTTCTTGTATTCTGAGTTCGTGGTGAATTAGCGCGATAAAACACAAAAGAGACAGTAGCTTC